CACTATGTGGCTGCCCTACGGGCTATGGCCATTAACTGTGAATTTTCTGACCTGGACGAGGCCCTCCTAGAGCAGTTTATATAGGGCCTCAGAGAATGCATCGCCGCATTCTCTCCCGCTCTGAACTTACGCTAAAGATCACTGTGGATGACGCCCGTGCCTACGAAATGGCTGACCAGTCCACTCCTGATCTCCGCCATTTCTCTCAGCCATCAGCTCCTCAGATTCCTGCCTCCTCTGCCTACTGCCAGCAGGCCTCGGACGTGTTCCAGTCCGAATTGGACCTGGCTATCGACCGCCTTCAGTCGCTCTCTCCTAAGGAAGGCCGTTCCTGCCTTAGCTGCGGCGGCCGGCATGCCCGATCTACTTGCCGTTTCTGCACCACCGTCTGCCGAAAGTGTGGCAAGAAGGGCCATTTAGCATCCATCTGCAAATCCACCCTGCCTGACCAGCGCCCGTCCAGCCTGCCTACTGCTGCCTAACGCCCTTTGGCCCCTCCTGCGGGCCACCGCCAAAATTGCCTCTCCCTCGGGGACGCTGGCTACGCATGCCCTGAATGGCTGGTTGACTCAGCCTCTTCTTCCTCTCTGTGGGGTCGGGGTAAGATCCACCTCTGCCTCCTCTTGGAAGGCCGTCCCTGTTCCGTGGAGTTGGACACTGGCTCCGCGAGGTCCATTATGTCCTGGGACTCCTTACGCACTCTTCTGCCCCATTGCCGCAAGCACCAGCTGGCTCCTGCTAACTGCCGCTTAAGGGAATATCAGGGGAACCGCATTCCGTTGCTGGGCTGCGGCCATTTCCTTGTCTCCTATGGCGATTTCCAGGCTCACTTTCCCCTCTTGATTGTTAAAAGCCCCTTAGCCTCCCTTCTAGGATTAGACTGGTTCCGTGCTCTTGGGCTCTCTATTTCTGGGGTTCATGCTATCTGCTGCTCTTCACCTATGGGAGACAACCTTTCCTCTCTCCTTTCTGAATTTGCGGACATTTTCTCCCCCTCCTTGGGCTGCTACACAGGGACCCCAATATCTCTAAGCCTAGACCCAGCAGTGGCCCCCATTCGCCTGAAAGCGAGGTGCCTGCCCCTCGCTTTGAAAGCTAAGGTAGACGCGGAGCTTGATAAGCTCCGGGCGCAAGGCGTTCTGGAGCCGGTCGATTTTTCCCCCTGGGAGACCCCATTGTGGTCCCCTTAAAGTCCATTAGGATCTGCATGGACTTTAAGTCGACCGTCAACAAGGACCTGCAAGCCCACCCCTACCCTGTGCCCGTTGTGCAGCATGTATTGCATGCCCTTGGCCATGGCAAAATATTTGCCAAGTTAGATTTGGCGCAGGCATATCAGCAGCTGCCTGTTGATGACGCCACCGCGGCTGCGCAGACGATTGTCACGCACTGCGGGGCTTTTAAATGCCACTGCCTGCAGTTTGGCATCAGCGTGGCCCCAGGTATATTCCAGGGTCTCATGGAGCGCTTGCTCCATGGCATTCCTGGGGTCACCCCGTATTTTGACGATGTCCTGATCGCCGCTGCTGACCGGTCAAGGCTCGTCAAAGTGAACGTTGGCTTGTTTTTAATATGTTGTCTTTGTCTTGTTTTCCCCTTTCCCTTGTCTTTTGTGAGCTGCCCGGAGTCCTCCGGGAGTGGGCGGCATACAAGACAAATAAAATCAAATCAAAATCAAATCAAATACTGCAGACGGTCTTGCAGCGCTTCCGCGCCGCTGACCTCTGCTTAAAGGCCTCTAAATGCCATCTAGGGGTCCCTGCCGTTCCCTTCCTGGGCTACTGGATTGACCAGGCTGGATTTTATCCAGCCCCCTCGAAGGTGGATGCTATTCTAGTTGCCCCGACCCCTACTAATAAGGTTGAGTTGCAGGCCTTCTTAGGCCTCCTCAACTTCTACTCTGCCTTCATCCCCCATAAGGCCTCTCTTGAGGAGCTGCTCCACCGGCTGCTGGACAGCTCCGCTCCCTGGGTTTGGACAAGCTGCGAAGCACATGCGCTCGCGGCTGTCAAACACTCCTAAACCACCACCACCTGTCCTGGCCTAATATGATGAACACCTTCCCTTGCTCCTCGCCTGTGACACCTCCCCTTTTGGTGTTGGGGCTGTGCTGAGCCACGTCTACCCTGACTGGTCGGAGGCTCCCCTTGCCTTCTACTCCCGCACCTTATCCAAGACTGAGCGAAATTACAGCCAGTTGGATACGAAGGCACTGGCCGCCGTTGCGGGGGTGAAGCAGTTCCATCATTACCTCTATGGCTGTTCCTTTACTATATTCACAGACCACAAGCCCCTCTTG